GGCCAGACTCATTCTGCTGCTTCCTGGTGCACATTTGGCTGTTCACATTTCTGCAAAGTTTTTTTTTTTTGGTGTTGTGTCCCTCCACAAATGGACTGCTTAAAGAATTTTGTGAACTGTATTTAGAGCAGATTGTCTAAAAATCTGGGAGACTGTTAGCTCTTTCTCCAGCTCTCCAGTACTGTACAATAGGCCTTCCTGAGCTGTCTGAAATGCAGCCTTCTGCCCTCTCCTCTAGAGAGCCTTGAGAGTACTGCATTTTTGCTGACATTTTGCAGCATCTAACCTTGTCCATATCATGCCAACACCTATTTGCTACTATGTTTGTTTTATTTTAATTGAAGGCAACTAACTCCAAGGGAAACAACTGTTCTTTTTCATAGTAAGGCTCTCCCTGCTATGCAGGCTTCAGGTGCTAAGAGTTTTCTCTCTTCTGAGCTGTTAGAAACCAGTTCCAAGTGGCTGATGTGAGCCATCCAGCTGTGGTTACAAATAGAGACGTGGTGTCAGTATCCTGAGGTACGCAAGACACTGAAAGTGGAGACATTTTTCCCTGTCTGCGGATCCCAAAACTGGCCTTGGGCATTCCCCAGTTGAGACAGGCCAAGGCAGTGCCAGGGAACATGCTGACAGTTTCCTGCTGTGGATCCATACCCTGGCCCTGATCAGGTTATTAATGGAGATGGAGCCTTTAGGCCACTCTTTTCGGATCTTCACTTCTACCACAGGATTCTTCATTATTTTCCTGAATATTCATAATTATACATGAACTTTAAGAGTTTTCTATCAGTATGTACCTTGAAAATGCTTTCCTGAGACCATGACTTCATTCTCCCCAGTTTGTATCAGTGTAGGTCTGCCACACCTCTCTAGTGAGATAGGACAAACTGGAGGTCCCCTTGATGTTCAAAGGTAGGCCTCCTCATCCTGTGGTCCAGGGCTGTTTTGGAGGGAGACCAAAGAACTCTTCAAAAGATCCTGAGATTTCAGCCAGTTTTTAAAACTGCTTTTAACACGCAGCTGTCATCTCTTACAGCAGGCATAGCCCTTTTGCAGCACACACACCTACTTTCTCTGATTTTCTCTATCTGCAGGAAGGCTAGTCACATCCCTTGTGCCATGGACAATGAGTACCCAGCCATGCCTCTGAGCCAGCATTACCAAAAGTTGGAAATGTTGTAGTTTATCCTCCCTCCATCCTCTCCTGAAAGAGCACCTGGGTTTTGCCTTTAACAAAGCCTCTTTAGTGACGCCAACTGGCTCTTCTTCCTTAGAAATTCTTACATGTCTGGACCAAAAATCAAGCAAAAATCCCTCCACCTCTATTCTGCAGCCCAGCTCACGTATCACACACTACAATACAAGCTCTTAAGAGGCAGAACTTTAACTGGAAACATAAATACAAATGGGAAGGCCTCACATGAGTAGTGCCATACACACTGCCTGCTCTTACAGGTAGTTTGTCAGTTTTGTTGCATCTTCCCCATTGGCACTGAGCAGAGCCCTCCAGCTAGCAACAACAGGAACAATTAACCCATCATCGCCAGACCAAGCTTCTGTGTCTCTCAAAAATATGAGAATCTGCAAGCCTGCAGACCACTGTGCTGTGAATAAGGGGTAGGGTAGTTAAGTAGGTATGTGAAGGATCTCCTGCAGCTGCCCAGACAGAAAGCACAAGATTTAGTAAACTTTGCTCTTTTTCTGTCTCTGGTAAATGAGTATTTGCCCAGGAGTGTATGTGCATAAGGTATTTTGGGGTTGGTTGGTTTTTTTTTTCCTTTTTCTCCCTACCACCATTTTCAGATGGCAGTGGACAGTCTTTGTACAGCTGCAAGCTCAGCCTCCAGTCTGAGCTGACTTCCAGAAAATCAGCACTTGAGGCCCTACAAAGGAAAATAACGGACTGTAAGATCATCAGGTTTGTCTTTGTGACTTTGTCACTCACATCTCAAGAATACAGATTGTCTGGTGAGCTATAAATTAAGCTTCTGTGGTTATTGTAGCAAAGTTCTGAGTTGCTGCAGTCTTGAAGATTGGTGTTAAGGGTTAGCTTTTTCAGTGGAGCTTTGCAGAGCCACTGCAGAGGTTAAATTTTACCATCCTCCATTATGAGTAAGCTGGAGCCTTTTTTGCCCCCTACGAACTCATTGTCATAGTAATTCAGACTGATGGTAATGCATGAATAAATCACAATGACTGTTAAGATGAAGGGACAAGTTTTTTTCAAGCTAGACATAAAAAAAACCCTACCCTTGTTTTTCATCCCTAATGTTACCTTGTCTGATCCATTTACTTCTTTGTACATGAATAACCCCTGATAAGCGTTATGAATCTTCTAATGGAATTGAGCCTATATAGCTGAGCTAAAAATACAGTGAGATGCATCACCAGTCACGTGAATAGAATCTGTAGAATCCTCTTGCAGCTTGGTGGTCTCTGCAAGTGGAGGTTTGTGGGAAGGGGAACTCATTGACTTTGAAATTGTAATACTGTGCTGTCTGCACTACCTGTCTATATGTCATGTGTACAGCCCTGCCATTTCAAAACTTTCAGAGATCAGGGACAAATCTTTACAGAGATTATGTGTATGCACTTCTATCTTTTCATAACACTAGGTTTTTGCTGTTATGTTGCCTGATAATCAGACCTGAAGCCTCTGCAATACTGGAATTTGGTTTCTCAAATTCCATGTCTCTAGAATGTGATTTTGACAGGAAATGTGATATTCAGAAGACAGTGTACAGACTGCTAAAGTCTGGAACAAGTTGTAGAAGACCCAAGAGGTATCCACTCTCTCAAAAAGTATAGAAAGACCATTTCTCCTGCAAAGATCATGAGGTGCTCTCATGAAGTATGGTTCTTCTCCAGTCTCCAAACACAGTAGGGTTATTCTTTTTCCTGTAACTGGTGGGTCAGCTACATCTAGGATATGTTAGTGTACCAGATAATGTGGTGCCAAATTCTACTGCAGCATCATGCCATCAAGTCTAGCTTGAAGTTTATTGTCCCTGAGCTCACGTGCACAGTTGACTTTTTTCTCCTGAACAGAACAATAAAATCTTCACTTTGATTTCTCTAAATTAATTGGTTTGCTGGGTGACGTAGTTTTACCAACTATATTTTGTAGTTGATTCTGCAATAGCAGTAATAAGAGTTTTGCTTCCATCACTTTGTGGCATATGCTTCTACCAAGCTTTCCTGCTACTGATGGACAGATTCTGGTTACAGCTTGTTTTCATCTGAATCTTCAATAGCTGCGAGGGTTTGAAATACTACTATGGCAGCCTTAGCTCAAAGGATACTTCATTAGCCTGCCCCTCTTTCAGCAGATGACTAAGTCATTTACATGCTTCCATTTAAGAGATATCTTAAATAGATTTATAAATACAACAAGAAAGTGCATGAAAAATCTCAAAATGTCACTGTAACACTTCAACTTGCAATATAATTGAAAATCAAAAGATCTTTCTTAAAAGTTCAAGTAATTTCAGCCCTCAAGTAAAGCAACTGCTGGTTTGGAAGACAAGCTCTTTGTGTTAAGTCATACAGATATTAGTGTTAATGTTTTTAAATTGCCAATCATAATTTTAAACAATTACAGAGACATTATCAAGAGCACACATTAGATTAGGGTTCTAAATATTAATGGATTTCACTAATTTGTTCAGCTATCATATGTACTGATGAATTTTCATACAAGAAAGAAACGTGCATTCCTTTCTGATTTAAAAAAATATACATGTTAGAAATTAAGACCATTTCACTAACTACATGGAGAGGCAGAAGTGCTAACTGCTCAGGACATCTTCATCCCTATTAGAGAATGCAGAAAGAGAAGAGAAAGTGTTCTATTTTTATTGAGAGCTATACTGTCATCATGAAATTTATCTTTTTTTAAGGGCCTGGAACCTACAAGGGTTCACAATTTGGGCAGTTACTATTAACTAGCAGGATATTCTTATAATCTGACATGACAGATTACAATTTTAAATGCACATATAATCACAGTAAATGTATAAGGCTGATGAGGATTCAAAGGAATAACTCAATTGTTAGTGTCACTATAATGTCGTAAGTCTTTACAATTTACTGCCTAGTTCTTTTTATCTTCAAGGATGCCTCAGGTAATAGGGATAGCTCTGTGCAAGAGTTTCAGGGCAGGCGATTTATTATTGAGTGTGTCATGTCTGCCACAACAGGGTTTGAATCTTGATGTATACTAGGGCATAGGATTGCCTTAAAGGCTAGAGAGAAAAAGAACAGTTTTAAATTCTCAATGTTTCAAGAAACAGAAAAAAAGCATCTGAACTCCTTATTACTAGTTCAAAAGACTACAAGAATAAATCATACCCAAAACAAACATACCAACCAGCAGTCGTACACAATAATCTTGCAGAAGAGCATTTTTTGGATACTCATGCTATTCCTTTAGATGCTTAAATTTTCTAGTAATTGCTTGAATCCTTCCAACCAATTATGTGTGCTATTAGGGTGGCTGAAAAAGGGTTCTTCACACTGAGATACCCACCCAAACTCACATGAAACATTGTCTTTAACAAACCAGTTTAGCTGAACATCAGCAGAAGGAGACTTAAAGAAGTCCTAAAATCCAAGTTAGCAGATGGTAAAACTCAAATTGCATGCTTAAAGTAACAAGTATATGCCTTGAAAGGAAAAGAAGCTTGCACCTAATTATACTGTGCTGCCTGCTTTCACAGCAAGAGGACTTTTTTTAAGAGATGATACTTTTTTCTTTGCACTTCATCTAATAACAGTTTTGTTCTTAAGCTGCTATTAAAAGGACACTTTATATTTGGCAATGTGCATATCAGAGACGAGGACATGGCATTATTCGTTCATTTTGCCCAACTGTTTTAACTTTCCGTTTTTTAGCTTTTAATAGTGCTTACAAAGTAAAGGGGGAGGAGGGGAGAATATGTATACTTTAATCAGGTTTGGTTCAGACCACATAGAATAACACATTAGAGAAAAAAAGGCAATTACGTAAAAATAGTTGTATTTATATTCCACAATTTGCTCAAATACTGTTTTTTTTTTTTTTATAAACTTTCTACAGGATGTTTTAAAACAAGTTCTTCACATTGCTTGTCAACTATATACTTAATGGAATTTGAGGGAAATAGTTCTGGTTGTTTTTACAGTTTAACACATGTACAGTACCAAAATGATGGTGGCTAGTCACATGCAGTCCATATGAGATTCTAACATAACATTTAATGAATTTTCTGATGTTGACCATCCCTTTGATGCTGAAGGTAATGCATCTGTAGAAAGCAATGACTGTAGATTTGGGTTACTGCTCTCTGCATCTTCCAGTTTTTCAGTGTTGTCCTCCCAATTAATGTGGAATCTCGTGACTCTGGGATTAGATGCCAAAATATTCCTTTGAAGCTGGGAGAGAAGGAAATATATGGATTATATAATGTGTACATCTCAAACTGGAGTTCACATCCATATAGATTTTTTTTCCTTTTACTCCCCATAGCCTTATATGTGTAAAACAATTTGTTTAAAAAGGTAATTCACACAAATGTGTATCTATAGCTACTATCTATGGATCAGAAACATGCTTACAGAAACACACCACTTGTTCATTTACTCTAATATCCTACTCAACAAAATATCTGCTTTCTGCAGAGGGTATTTTTAACTGTTCCCTGAGTTCAAGGCTATGAGAACTCTGCAAGTAAAGTGCAAGTGTTTATTATTTTAGCCAGCTTTTAGTACTTCATAAAATTTTCCATCAACTTTATGGTGTTGGCAATAATCATATCAATTCCATCAACTGTCTTTCTTCATTTAACAGTACAACCTTTCCTTAAATTACCATGGTCTAGATTGATTTCACTAACTGAATTTTAATTTTTATACTAAAGTTTGAAAGTAAAAACATTGCTTAGATTTGGAAGATATTAATATTGTGGCAGTGGACATGCTTAGACGTTAGTCATGTATTTTATTCTCGTGGCTGACCTTCATCTTTCTTCGAAAACATGTTGCATTTGTTTATGTATGCAGCAAAAAAGAAAATGCTCACTTTCTCTTAATCTTTCACCATTTTCAAGATAATATATAGTTAACTCTGGAGGATGGCAACACCACCACTGGCTACTTATTATGAAAGTTAAGACTGATCACAGGAAGTTTTTGCTTTCGTAGGTAGTGCCAATTTTATTCTCCAACAAAGTGCACTCTCATTAAATATTTCCCAACCCCTTATGCTAACTAACAAGACTTTTTTTTTTTAACCTAGTAGGGTCTATTACTCATCAATTACAATTAAATATGTTTAATAACCTTCTATTCTACTTGTGTGTTTAAATTCTGTCCCAAAGTCACACTAAGGACTTTTTATACAAATACACGATAGCTTTTGCTGTTCTTTTTCATAGAAGCAAAATTAGCTTTTTACATAAGCAAATAAGAATTAAGACAAGTAGTTATAGGTACTTCTAAATCCAAGTGCTTAAAGGAAGTCAACATTCTGGCATTCACACCCAAAATAACAAGTATACGATTTAAATGAAGAAAAAAAAAAAAAAAAAAGAGAAAGGAACAGATTATAAGTTTAAGAATCCTCAAACTTAAGAGTAATTTCAGATTGAGAATATAGTGAGCATCTGATCCCTGAAAATTAAGTTAAGCATAGAAAATCATTATCGACTTTTAAAAAACAATTTGTATACCAATTCAGTTTAGTTACATTTGAAGATCAGTTTCAGGGACTATGAGGATTATTTCTGTACTCGTCATTACAGTACATGCAGTATTCCATTCATTTCTTCATATATCCAGTCATATAATTCATGCAAACTTGAGAAACAACAAAATTTTCACCATCACATAACTTTGGAACATAAGTGTGTACACATGTACATCAGCTTTCCTAAAGAGAAAACCCAACTCCACAAAATCTTCCATGAAAACAAACCCAGATGCTCTATAGAACCTTGTTGGTTTGTACAAAGTCTTCCTGGGTAGAGTATTTCACAGGATTCTGATGTTTAATTGATCCTTCTTCTCCAGGTATTAGGTTCCAAATAATTCTACTTCACATAATCTTTTAATTCTAGTCCTGGTTTAATTTTTACCCTGAAGGATATTTTTTTTTAATTTAATCTGTATACTTCCTTGGTCGAGTTGTCCATCGATGGGATAATCATCCAACCTGCTCTTACCAGGTTACCCATCTTCTCTTATTTTATATGTAACTTGTTCTTCAGTTTGTTACTGTTTTGCAGAAACTGCAGCTCTAACACTAGAACAGCTGGATAATAACTGTGTTAAATTAATACTTGAAACTTAGTTCCAGGTTGACTGTCCCAGAAAAAACATTTTTGTTCCTCTGAAGAACAGAGACACTTTGTCAACAGTGGTGCAGGTAGAAGGAACCCAATGGTTCATTTCACACAGTCAGGGTAAAATAATGATGATGTCCAGCCCAGGCTTCAAGCTGGTGGAAACTGTTGCAGGTTCCTCAATGTTCTCCAAATTTATGGCAACTATATGGTACTTGTAGTTTGTTGCCCCTAGTCTTTTCCATTACTTGATGCCTCGTTCCATGCACTTTATGGTATCACTTGGGGCTTGGTTTTGTTTCTTAAAAACCTCTTTCTATAAGCATACCTTTAATATATGACTAGAACAAAACATGCCTTACCTTAGAAAAATCTGGCTTTACTGGTGGGTTCTCTCTCAGTTCTGTTTCGGTATATTCATTGTTTACATAGTAGCCGACTCTAATAAATTCTTGACCTCGATAGGTGCATGTAATTAGCACAACTGTTACACCTACTGCATCTGCATCTGGAATAAGTCCTGGGTTAGGTGCATCAGCCTAAATGTAAAAGAGAAAGATGAATTAAAATAAAATTGATACCACATGCCTACTTAGCAGGGGAATCTTAAGTAGTATGTCTTAGCAGATGAGTAGTGACTGTATTTAAAATTGCTCAAGTTAACCAGAAAATATACCTGCTTTCACAACAACATCAACCCTGAACTTAGGACACTATCCTCTAGAGACAGAATTACTTAGAATACAGTAATATTGTGCACTGACATTATGGGTAGTGAGAGAGCTTTGATCCAAAATTGCTTTTAAATATATGATCAGCTGAACTGTTGTTCAAGCAAGTGTAAGATTTTTTTTGTACCTCTGAGGCTGAATTAGTCTGTACATGTGTTTTTAACAAGACTAAACCCTTAAAAGTACAGACTGCAATTTATACTTCAGCAAGAAAAGCTGAGCAGGGACAGGCTACAATGCAGTTTGAGCTGTCCCACAGATTTCTAGGAAAGGAAACTCCTCTCTCTCTCTTGCCTCCTTCCACATGCCTACATGTGTTAAAACATAGGCAGTTAAATGCATGTTTGCTCTAAGACATCTGACTTATTTTCAGCCAGGATGCAATTCTAATTAATAGGAAACTTCAACATCCTTACTTACTGTAGCTCTGCAGTTATTAATAATCAATAAAATTTGCCTCAAAGTATGGCTCACATCAGTCCCTTAAAATGCTTCCTAACTACACATTTATTGATAAAATGTGATGCCTTATTCTGCTATAGGATTTAAAATGACAGCAATCTCAGCATAAATGAAACAGCTTCATATTTACAATTTTACATGAATATCTGAGGCCAACAATGAGCACCTGTGTTGCAAGTATGAGTTGGTATTAACGATGTATATTAGAATGGTTCAGGTGTAATAACCAATCTTGCCTGAGGGCAGAGGACATTTTTTGTCCCTCTCATCCCTACTTTTCTGTAGTATTTATATGCTCCAGCACTGTGAAATTTGGGAGCTAGTGGTCATCCATCAGTGGCTTCTGCTCTTTTCTGCTTTAATTCTAAGCCTTCAAACCAGTCTAGCTTTTTATAAAAAGCTGTAGGCACTTTGCAGAAGAATTAGAGGAGTCAGACCTCTCAGGTACAAATAACACCAGGGGGAGGAGAAGCAACCAGGGAATCGGGTAGAACACAACTTCCTCTAGCCCTGAAAGGAACAGAAAATGACCAAATGGCTTTACAGCTTGCATAGGGGAATGGAAAAGATGACCAAGGAATAGGACAAGTGTAGAAGCTTGAAAAAAATCACAACTTTAATTCAGTAGTTTTGTTCTAATGGTGCCCAGGACCATTTGATTACTTTAAATTTCACAGTAGGCAGTTACAGAGTAACATATTGCAAAAGGACACTGTTCCATTTAACCCCCCCTGAAACTCAGCTCACACTCTGGAACAGGATTTTAGTTCTTCCAGGCTCCCATTGTCATTTTGTGTCCTGTAATGTCCTATGATACAGTTGTGAACCCAAGGAAATACTCCGGCTTAATCCTACTTAACTCTTAAGCATTGTTTTGCTAAGTGGAAAAGACACTGAACACACAAAGAAAACCCATTTTCTTTTCTCAAATTTTGAACTTCTGACTTGGATGTCAAGCCTCTTAATTACCCAGGAAACACATGGTCATACACAGGCAGAAGAAAAAAATAACCGCTTGGTATGACAGAAGTGCTAAGTAAGCAGTTGCAAATATATATTTTGGTAGGCAAAAAAAGGCAGTAGGATTAACGGATTAACTTTCGCATAAAAATCACTGCCTTAATATGCCATTCTTATGCTAGAAATTACTTAAGAATTTTATGAAATCGCTCAGTGTACATGTTGTCTTGAATTATGTTACTTTCCCACATGATACATTTACCCACATAGCTATTACTGCAGAGTTGCTAAGTTAGGGTAAGGTCATATCCCCACTTAAAGACAGTAAATTATTTATGTGCTTATATTCTCAAAAAGGAGGATTCAGTGAATTTATGACAAATCCCCAGGTAAGAAGGAATCAGGTTTCACTACTTGTATTTAGAACCAAGCAGGCCAAGCTGTGGGCCTTTAATACTGAATTTTTAAAAAATGTTTAAAAAACAATCTGATTGCATAATTCTGAAACATTAAAATAGTTTTTCCATCTTTCTGTATGTAAGGCTGACTTCCCAATCTGATACACAGCTTCTTTTCAACAAAGGGAGTTTTATTATCCTTTGTATTTTATCTGTGTGGTACTCCATTTTACTTGCTGTTTCAGCCATTTTCCTATTTAGAAAAATCTACAGCATATTACTAGCTATAAATTTTATATTTTCTACCAGGCTGCTTCAGTTTTGTGAATAAAATAGCTTCAGTCATCAGCAAAGGCTTATTGCAGCACTTTGGTTTTTGGTGGCCTCCTGTGTACACATGAGCCAAGTCCTACCCTCCCCCAAAATCCAGTGCTTTTGGAGTCTAATACAATCTAAGCAAAATGTCTACTTATCTACTCCTAATTTAGCTGTAGTGTCATTTATAACCAGGATACAACTGATGAACCCATCCTACAGAAACTGCAAGACCAGTAAATTTAACTTCTAAGGCCTTCCTAATCACACAGACAAAACATGCCTTTTTAGGCACCTGCCTCCTGCTCCTTCCCACCAACAATAAATCTTCGGAACTTACCTGAGAACAGTGCATCTTTTAAATTAGAAATGTAAACGCCAGCTGATTTGTCTGGATATAGTGCTACAACGTAACCCCTTTGAGGGCAATAGAGGATCCCCTATGTCTTACCAATTATTGCCATAAGCTATAATAGTTTGATAATGAAGAACTGTTAATAAATGATGCATTTGTTACACATCTGCTTTATTTGTAGTGTGGAAAAATTAGGCCCATCTCCAAAATCAAACAGAAATGTTTCAAGACTGATTTGCATGTACGTGCTTGATAAATGAAGCCTCCCGCCTAATCCTATTCCTTTAACCTGTCCTGTAAGAAAAAAAAGTTTCCTGGAATTTAGAGGATTAATCAAGATGCCTCACAAATATTGATATTTAAAAACAGTTACAGTAACTATGAGAAATAAGAAAGTGTATTCATTAGCACTTTTTTTTTTGAATGCTCATACTCCAGCATGTGTTTGCCATTAAGCAGTTAAGTGAATTTATAGTATTTGGGAAAGTAGCATGGTTCTTATTCAAGAAGTGGTACTCAGTTTCAATCTGATTTTTCTTCAGATGGATTTTGCTCTCAGTTTACTAGAGAAATGCTGGTATTTGATAAATAGAGGAAAAAGTGAGCTAAATCATGGTTTTGATTAAAACAAAACAAAGTTCCGTAAGAATTTATGCAAGTCTGCTTTATTTTCTTCCCCCTCTTGCTGCCTTAAAATGGAAACCAGAATAGGCTCGTAAGCCATCTTAGCATTTTTTTTCCCTGTTTTCCTTCCCTTCATTATTCCTTCTTAGTAACTTCTGGCTTTAACAGCAGTATTTTATAGGAGTATCATGTTCTCCAGAGTTTGTCCCAAATGCCTGCTATCTACCATTGGAATTCTGTCTTATTTTACAAATTGCTATATTTTGTTGTGATTTAGCATGCTTAGCCAAACATCATCATTGAACATTTATCCTGACAAATAGAAATGAACTCTTGACTGTTTTGGCTGAGTTTTACAATGAATTTGTTGGCCTGATCTGAAGATGCTGCCTATATTAACCTAGTGCTCCCGACTGTCTGAAACTGCCACCAGCTACAGTAGAGTTAAGCCTGATGGTGCTAATGTAAACTAGATAACTCTTACTCTTGATTACTGAGTGATCTAGAATACATTTATAAACCAGACTGGTCAAAATTGCCAGTAGCTATGGGAACAGTGCTTATCACTATCTCCAATTATTGATACCACAAGTGAAAATATTACAATGGAAATATCAGGGGCAAGAAATGTCAGCTCATGAACACTCTTCAAAGGAAGGTTTATCATAGCTGAAGAGCCAACTGAAATATTTTTCTAGCTTACCATTATTTTTCAAGTGCCTGTTAGTTTGATACAGTCATCTTTAAACAAATTAATAACAACCCTTTTAGAAACAGTTAAAACAAACTTACCTGAAATACAAACATGTGTCTGCCTGCAGGAACAGGTCCTACTAAAACAGAGTCTAACACCTGGTCATACTCTTCACTTTCAGCTGAACCCACATAAATTATTTTCCATTCCAAATCTACAGCAAAACAAAAATATAAAAAAAAACCCCAAACATTATTTATAATTTCAGTTAAGGGTCTTCCACTCTTACCTATCAATCAACAGTTTTGCGTAGCCTAAAATCACTTCTTTGGCAACAAGCCTAAAGTAACAAGGACCTGTCTTCATTGGGGAAATCTATCGATGCCTGCCCCTGTCTTCATGAACCAGACTATCCCACCATCTCTCTAGTCAGGGTACTACAGAAATGCCTCTATTTTTGTAGTCAGATTAATTTTCAAATTTTCTACAGAGGACAGGGCCCCTTTACTTGTTGGGAGCCGTGTTCATCATTTTCTCAAAGCCTGTCAGAATGTCTGCAGCACAGGGTTAATATGCTTGGAACATATTGCATGCCTTGAATACTGACTCACCACCCAAAAAGAAATTCCCACCTTCCACATACACACCTCACAGCTTAAATACAGGTAATGGAAGGTAGTTAATTCAGTAAGAAAACCCATTGTGTAAGCACCAGACACACTTAACTGTATGCCCCTATTATTTATGTAACTTGTGTAACCTGAGAAGGATGTAAAATTGTGATAGCACTATTAGATCATATCCTCACTGAATACATAGGTGCTTTGATTTTATCCACATCCTAAAATGGAATTACAGGCAAAAAAAAATTTAAATGTAGCATTTTGCTTCTTAAAATAATGCACCAAAATAAAACATTTCTTACAATTCAGTTTTTTCTAACTCACCCCCTCCACCACAGGTGTTTGTAAGTTGAAAGTGCAAATAAGCACACATTAGTTCTTCCTGGGCCAGCTTTTCACTTTCACTTTTTGATTCAAAAACACCTATGGAACTAATCTTAAAAGACTGATTTTGGGTTTTTTTTAAACAAGAGGGGAAGAGATCACAATTACAGAAAAATATCACTAACATTTTTTTAAAAATTAAACTGTTGCTTCAAAACTGTACCTTAAAAAAAGCTTACATGATGTATTTAATATTTTTTCCTTATGAACAATGCCCTGACTGTCTGTGCAAAAGCACAAACCTGTTACCCTATTACATTTACTTTATTACTATGCTCTGCAAAATCCAAAAGTCTACATTATGGTTTCTTGATGCAGGAATGGAATTTAAGCATGGAAAAAAATTATCACTTTAACAGAACTTGGCTGCCTTAGGACTGCAACTCTCTTTCCTCATTAATGAATTCTTCTTGCTTATCATGTTTAACATGAGTGCAGGTTTTGGGGTTTTAAGTAACATAATTAACAGGGCTTGGGAAGAGATTTTACTCCTCTGTACAGCAAAATTGGCTAGGTACTGTATTAAGGTTTTGTTTACATTTTAAGCACATAGTACTAGCTACTGCCAGTACTGCAGACTACTCATGAAGGACAATTAGAGACCTCTTTTGTCAGCATCTGAGTGTAAGTTACTACTTAAAAGTAGTGAGGACTTTTAGGCTAAGCTACTTATCACACCATCCTGTGCCATTATTCTAGGAGAACAGTATAAAGTTCATTCTAAACCAGTAGTATGTAGTACTAAAAAACTGACTTTTAAAAAATAAGTTTTAAATTATACATTTAATAGGTTGATCCAAATGCTGATTAGGTATCTTAATAGGGAATAACAATTAAAAAAAAAGGGTGGAGTTCATGAATTTAGTTTTAACATCAGTGGTACACAGGACTGTCTTAAGAAAAAAACACCACAGGAAATAGATACATTACCATGTGAAAGCTAAGACAACGACAGGAAATTTTTCATCAGGTATAGAAAGGCTATGTTTAATCTTATTTTTAAATGTGAAAGACAGCAGTGTTCATCTTGAATTTACCCTGTAGTCTACCTTGCATTTAGGTGGGGGAAGTGACCTGAAAATTCTGTGTTAGACCATCTACAGTTCTCATCCCAACTGTCTGGGATTAACTCTACCATAAATCCCGAGTGAGGAGCATGTCATGTACAGCCGCAGACAACTAGAAAGAAAGGCATAACACCCTGTCCCACAGCCCCTACGACCAGCACTGCTGCCTGCCACAGCAGTTGCCATGGAGGGGTCTGATGCTGTACCTCAGATGAGGCCAGACTGACTGGAGAGATCCAGTCCGTGTCAGTCAGTTAGTTGTAAAAGGGCAGGAGACTAGCGGCAGAGGCCTAGAGGAAATCTCAGGCTCAGACGAGACTTCCTCTCAAGTTCCCGCCAGCGCGGCCGTCCCTCCCAGCCGTCCCCGCCCAGCGCGCTGTCACCAGGCCGCCGGCACGCACAAGTCAAAACTGCTACAGAAGCAGGCAGGGTGAGGCAAGTTTAACCGCAGCGACAGAGAGCCTGCCGGACGTTATCACGCCTGAACTCCCGTTCTCCTTTTCCCTTCC